AATATCGGGAGAAATCATGCAGTAAGAGTTTTCAATCATTGCAAGGGTCATACCAAAGATATGTCAGAATTTCTTATTATATTCCTTACAGGTGTAACCCCTTCCTCAACGGGTATAGAAGGATACATTGAAACAACGACTAAGTTGACTACAGTGGAATCCGGTTTGGTTTCGTTGTTGGTATTTAAGTTAAGAAGAAATCAGTGATACTGTAGCAAACGATGAAGTAATATTTCCAACAGCCAGATGAATATCTTGGTGGGTGAATCAGAACCAGAGACACTACAAGGGGATATCAGGTTTCTATTCTTTTGTAACGTTTTTAATGTCTTATTTCCATTTACATTGTATCTTGTTTTCTGTAGAGTTGTTTTTTCAGTTTGAAGATACGATTACATATCATTAAGATGTTGTTGTTGTTTTTCGTTTTATGTGGTTGTTTTCATCACAACAAAATAACTTCTATAGAGAGGTCTTTGCTCTTTTAAGCTTATCAATACGTTGATCACGTGGCAAGCTGCCTGATGATTCCCATGGTATTTTCTAATAAGTTTTACTTCCTTCTCGAAGATGATCAAGTTACTTTCTCTAGTTTCCAAATAATTGCGAAGTAATGGTTTACTCCTGGAAAAATTGAACCAACAGATAAGCAGAAAATGACAAGTTTAACTCACCAATATTTATTATTCTTATGTTGTTTATTTATGTTTCTTTTTTTGTAAGGTAAAATTTGAAAAATGTTTTATTTTAGTTTACTCACCTTAAGTATCCTTGTTGCCGTTCTTTAAGCAGTTAGGATACGTGTCCGTGCCTATGACAAAAACAAGAACAAAAAAAAACATGTTCCAGTTGTTTTTGGTTGATCCATTTGTTCTAGCTTCTAAGGCTTATCACTACTGGTTTTGTTGCTGTAAAATGTTTTACCCAGACAAATGCGTAAACTAAGTATTTCTGGAACCTAAAACCATTTATTTATAGAGTTGAATTGCATGTTCTGAGTTGAATACTAGATGGCAGCACTAGGGAGTGCCGACAGGTATTGCCTACTCATGTGGAGGCCTGTTGTCTCACAGCTGGTAGAAGAAAGTTTCTAGTGATCTTCTTGCTGCATACTGTCCTACTGATTCCATTTTCCTAGCTACAACATACGGCACTTTGTCTCCCAGCAGTTCAATTTTCTTATTAATGTCAGTGAAGACCTTCCATGGTGCCTCCCAGTGGCACAGCGGTGTGTCTGCGGACTTACAACGCTAGAAACCGGGTTTCGATACCCGTGGTGGGCAGAGCACAGATAGCCCTTGTGTAGCTTTGTGCATAATTACAAACAAATTAACCTCGTGCCACTTACTACGTCACAACAACATATTTGTTATTGTATCAGTTGTCTCGATTCTTTATAATTAGATGTTATTTATTTCACATGCTAGTTACAATTAATCAAGACATTTTTTATTGGCAATGTATTGATCTCATTTGTCATACTAAAATATTGTTAATATTATACCAAAAAAGTTAGTTTCTGTAACGTGCACTAATTTTTATCTGCGCCACCGAAAACAGCTGAATGGATTTGGACTATGACCCTCCTTAGGAGGGATTAGTTTTTTGAGAGTCAACGTTACCATGGGGACCGATATTTCACATTGTTTTTGCTCCATATCTCAGTCAAAAATAACGACGGACATACGGCACATTTTCGTATTCTTTGAGAACTGAATATGATCAACTCTGCGTGACGGCTGTATGCGCTCTACTGAGTGCCCTCTAGTGTAAATATATTTTTATAGTAGATCACCATATTTTAAGGTTTAGTATTTTTATTTTTTTTTGTATTAGAAAAAGAGTTCAACTGTGATGAAATCTTTATAAAGTTGTTTATTACGTGTTTGTGGCTTAAGTTTTGCCGCGTTGAGCTGTCTGTGGCGTTTGAAGAGCATTAAAAAAACAACAACAAAAACACTTGTGGTTGTAATGATTACCCCAGAGCGCAGGTTAGTAAAGTTTAAAATTAGCATTTAAGAATTTCTGTACAAAAAATAACATCCTTGGCTTGTTCGACAATAGAGGTCGTCCTATACGCTCGCCTTTACGTATATAATGTGACGGTCAATCCCACTATTCGTTGGTAAATAAGTAACCAAAAAGTTGGCGGTGGGTGGTGTTGACTAGCTGCCTTCCCTCTAATCTATGATTACTAAATTAGGGACGGCTAGCGTAGACAGCTTTCATGTGGTTTTGCGCGAAATCATAACAAACCAAACCACAAATTCACTTTCCAATCATAACCATTGGAAAGAAACGTTTAGTGGGTGAAAGAAACAGTTATCGAAACGCTCCTGCCATCTTCTGGTATAAATCGTAATTTAGTGTGCAAAACGTCTCAGACTACTTATCTCAAAGAAAATATTAGCGAGGTGTCAAGTAATAACTAAGAACAAACACTATTATCCTATCTTATAAGTTTTAAGCCAACTTTTGGTACATCCGGGTAACTTAAAAATATTTTTAGTTGATAACTAAGCTAATTTTTTAAGTTCTTTTTAATGGCTTAGGCATTTTGTTAAGGAACAATATTTTTGGTTAAGTGTAGAGACAATATTAAGTTCAAACCTATTAAATTTCACAAGTGAAAAAGTATTCAACTTTTATGTACACTGAGACAGAAGAACGAGGTTTTATATATATATGTATGTATGAATGAATGTATATCTTGTTTTGTCACTTTTGACCAACAGATGGCACTATTGAATAAGTCCAAATCAAACATTTTAAGATATAATTATAGTATTTTGGCACTTGTGTATAAACTTAAAATCATAAATAATATTCAACGTTAAACTGGTACACAATTAAACAAATTTTATTTAGGCCTATCTATGGCCTTCAAAAAGTTGACTCCTGAGGATGACGTTGTAACGTCGAAACATGTAGAGTCGTCAACTTTTTGAAAGCCATAGATAGGCTGTGTACCAGCTTAACCTTGAATATTATTTATGATTTTAATTTCAAGATATGTCACTTGGTATTTTTTAATGATCAAAGACAGCATATTAATCATCTTTTATTTTGCTTAAAAAAATAACAAACACTACTTGACAAAAACCTTTTATTTTTGAAAATTGAGCCAAACTGTATAAACAAGCTATCTGCATAAAAATGTCATTTAAAGTATGTTAAGTAAAACAAAGCAGAGTCGAAACGTTTTAACAAACGCTTCAAAATATTTATTTATTGACTGAGTTTTTCAGCTCACTTAACTATTCTTTTATGCAAAACTTTTGTTGTTACTAATAAAATGATTCCGAAAAGATTTTTTCGTAATCTTAGGGTTGCGGGTCCGAATCCTCGTCCCACCAAACATGCTCGGCCTTTCAGCCGTGGAGACGCTATAATGTAACGTTCAATCACACTATTCGTTGGTAAAAGAGTAGCCCAAGAGTTGACTCTATCTATTGCAGGTATCGAAACCTAATTTTTAGCGTTATAAACCCGCTGAGCCACCAGAGTGTGTGTGTGTTTATTCTAGGAATGATTAGAGATGTAAAAACTAAGACATCAGAGAACTCACAACAGTAGTTTTCGTAAACACAATATATATATTTTTTCAAATCAAGCAGTTTGTACATAAGACAATACATAGACATTTTACACAATTCGACACGACGCACCGGACCATAATATAAACGTTACAGAATATATGTATATATATATGTACACCTTTCTGGTATGACTTCTCTTATACAAGTTTAACTTGATAATCAATATTTAACAACCTCTTTGAGAAGAAAAAAATACCAAAATACTTTAAAATTGCAATAAACCATTCTCTTTAACGACACTAATATTAAGACAAACTGTGGACTCGAGACGTTTATTAGATATTTTTATAACTGAGAAAGTACCGGGTAGTGGGGTCCTTGTAATTCAGATCTTCGCTACCTGACAGGATTGCTGGTATACTTAAAACTGTGCGCGAACTTGCAAAAGCTTAAAGTCGAGAAAATTTGATAAGGATAAACTAGCTATTTAGAGAGTTTGATAGATATGATGCGCTTCATATATAAGATATATTTATGAACCCATTTAAAGCGACACGATGTTATGAGTTCCAAAGACCTACGTATATATATATATATATCTTTATCTTCGAATTAATAAATCCAAAGATACTTATTAAGTGATGCTGTGAAAAAAAAATCTTATTTGGAATGTGCACAATTAATAAGTTATAAGAAAGACGTGTTTTATGTGCATCCAAGATTAAAATATCAGTATACTATTTTATATATAAATATGGTTAACAACACACCTAATGGTGTTAATCACATGTATCTATTTATGGAAAAAACTGTAACTAATTATTAATTTGCATTAAAAAACAACACGACGAAGACTAAATGCTTAACATTGGTTGTTAATCAAACACTTGTTAGTCTCGTTTTCAGACTGTTCAAGAGAGAAATGTACAGAAAAATCAATAAAATCAACGCCACATACAAGAACAATAAAACATGGATTATTCTAGTCACAAACGTAAATTATTATGAAATCTCAACGAAAAAAATAAAAAATAAACATACAGCATACCAAAGTTATATGCTTTCCTTTAAGTATCATTAGCACCTTGGGTCGAGAGTATGTAGAGTATATAATTACGTATCAAACAACTAAAGCTTCGAAACAGTATAAATTCGCCGATTTTTGTGTTCTATTAATTTCATAAAATTAAAACTTAAACGTCCAAACTTCTGATATAAGGATATTTATTACACGTGAGTACATTCGTTTGACGAAAACTTTTAACACTAACCACGTGTATATCAAATCGATTTAAACAAAACAGAAAAACACGTACACACATTAAACAGTTTTCATTTTCATAATACCTTTTAAACTCTCAAAATATACTAATCCTTTCTAATTAGATGACTAGCACGACTATCACTCGTTTAAAAAAAAATATCAAGAATAGAGTTTCGTTAATCGATGGAAAATTTTTAAAACTTTTTACCGGGAAATTAGTTAAAATAATATTTTATTTTGATTAATTTTTTGTTTTAATTTCCTTCGATCAACCAACTCGCATTTATTGAAGGACGAACGTTCAGAATGTCCAGCGTCAGTACACAGGAAGACGTTTTGAATTGTGTGCAACTTCAATTTATAATGTCTAAGCCTAATATGACTGCTAATAAAGATGCTTTATTTTTACGTAAACGCCTAAGCCTAATATGACTGCTAATAAAGATGCTTTATTTTTACGTTAACGCCTAAGCCTAGTATGACTGCTAATAAAGATGCTTTATTTTTACGTTAACGCCTAAGCCTAATATGACTGCTAATAAAGATGTTTTATTTTAACGTTAACGCCTAAGCCTAATATGACTGCTAATAAAGATGCTTTATTTTTACGTTAACGACTAAGCTTAATGTTACTGCTAATAAAAATGTTTTCTTTTTACGTTAACGCCTAAGCCTAATGTGACTGCTAATAAAGATGCTTTATTTTTACGTTAATGCCTAAGCCTAATATGACTGCTAATAAAGATACTTTATTTTTACGTTAACGCCTAAGCCTAATATGATTGCTAATAAAGATGCTTTAATTTTTATGTTTAAGCGAACGTTCGTCCTTCGGTATGATTGTACTAGTGCGTATCTTCCAGTAATATTTCATAAAATTGTGTCTTCACTCTGTTGTTCACTCGGTCTGGCATGAAACTCACTGTCGTGGACTTCACATAAAGGATGTCCTTTTCCGTGTTAAGAATACTCTCGCGTTAAGAGGGACACGTTTCACGTAATACATTCAAAGTTCCCTTGTGGAGGCGCTCAGAAAGGTAAACTGGACAGAAGCATGTTGTCTACGAGCGGAGGCGTCGGAGCTAAATCTTCTAACTTGAGATAGAATAAACGCTGAAGTCCTTGAACACTAATTGTACGAAGATCTGTCAGTTTGGACAAGATCCGTGAGAAGTAATGTGGCCTTTTTTGAGCTTCACTGTTGTAGGTCACGTGATCCCTCAAGGAGCTGACGATTTTCATCTGGAGTTGTTCAACTTTCTGAGAGTCTCTCAGTCCATGTCTTTCTGTTTGAACAAAATATCGGTTAGTAAATGACGCCAGGGTTTTGTTTTCAACTTTCTTTTTTTTGGTGGGTGAAAGTATGGGTAAAGCATGATAAACTACGATATCGTACCTTTTAAAGCATGATATCGTACGAAGAATGTCAGGCCTGCCACTTTTACATCAGTATTAAAGATAGTGTGTAAGTACGTTTGTTTGTTTGTAGTTATGCACAAAGCTACACAATGGGCTATCTGT